CTCCATATATATATGGGTTTTTTTTTAATTTTTTTAAAAATATTTTATACCACAACCAAGCGTGCGCTTCTTTCTAGTTTTAGTTTTGGTAAGAGTTTTACGGCACTTGCAATATAATAACGTCATATAATTGCGAAGATTAGAGGTGTTACAAGAGAGAGAAAAAACACCAGAAGAGAGATCAGGACGATAGATGTTCGATAGGAAAGAAGAAGCAAACCACACCAGAGCACCGGCCAACCACCCACACTTCTTTCTCGTAGTTTCGGAGTCCATGCAGCAGCGAAATTCAATCAAAACGTAACTGGTATTCTAATAACTTTGCTTTTGCGGCTTCAGGCAATTTGTTGTAAAAAACAAAAAAAAACACCGTTGTGAATGGGACGGGACGGAGGGTGTGGCCGGTAATTTAATATCAGCTTAAAGTGCACCATTTTTATGCCTGATTGATGGAAAGATAGGCAGTATAACAATATGAAAGGGGCATAACGCTATTAGAGAACTTGGAAATAAATAATTACGCCAGACAGATTGATCTCATTTGAGTGGGATTTTTTAGGAATTAGGTCGAGCTGACCAGATTCCATAATGTGATGGTTCCGTTCTTTGCTTCGCGTGCGAAACCTCAATTCGACTCCCGTGTGGAGAAGTTTGTTTTACTTCGTATCTCCTTGTTTGTTTGTTTGTTTTAGTAAGGTATTACGGCCCTCGCAACTGCATAAGGTCATATGAGTCCCAAGGGGTGAATGTCAACAGAGAAGTCCAAACGGGGAATCAGGCTTTCTCTGCTCACCTCTCTAGCCTCAACAGCACAAAGTCTGTTTCGACTATCAAGGCACCCCGGAAATAGCAGTTCACAAGAGAGGGACAAACATACAAAATAAGTAGAGGATAAATGACGATAGTAAGGATGAGGAGAGAAAAAGCAGCAGGCAGTTCCCCATATGTTGTTCTTTCTACCGTGAAACTGTATCACGCTTAGCCCAAGACAGGTAGCGCCAATGCAGCCCCCACCTAGATCATCGAAATTGTACCCATGGACGCGAAAAGCATTTAAAATCATTTGGGACTGAGCTTTTGAATTGTCTTGTATGGTGGAGATACGTTAATAATGACGTGTATTTTGTTCGTGAACGTGTGAACAATCGACAAATCATGTCACATAAAAATATAATTGCGCTGTGATTCTGTGATTAATATAGTGTAAAGCGCATAATGCTTGCTTTCGAGTGGGGATATGCGCTATACAAATGCTATTTATTTATTGTTATTATTATTATTGTTATTACTATTATTATTCTCCATATTGATAATGACAACTCCATGTCATTCCAGCGCATAGATAGAGAATGTGTTATGTAGCCCACGTTTGTGATGTTTTGAGGGTTACCCCCCACCCCCACCC